TGCAAATATCCCCAGCTATAATTTATTTTGTTTTCACTGTAGAACATTTATGTTTGTAGTTTTTTTCTATCTCTGTCAAGTTGTATGGGTTAACATTTACAGTACATGTATAATTTCCTTCTGGGATGAACATATTTATGTTTTAAAAATGGGTAATTGCTTTAAATTAGATATCAAATAATAACATGAGGTATGTGGATTAAATAAAAATTGTTTAGGTAGTACCAAAATGACTAAAACTTAGAGAACATTAATGAAAATAATTATCCATATAGAATGTACCAAAGAGCATCTTTTCCCCCAGCTTTTCATAAAGCTCATGATACACTACAGTAGTCAAATCAGGCATTAATTACAAGTAAAGCATTTCCCCTGATTATGCTTCGATTTCCTTGTAAGAAAAGCAAGGCTAACATAAGTACCCATACTGTAAGGTTAATGACATCTATAAGTGCTGAGCAGAGGCCTGGCAAAGAGGAAGTGCTCAGTAAATGTCGGTGAAGGCAGCTGTTGCTGCTGCTCCTAAGACAGACATTAAACCATTACCTCAGGACAGCTTCTGATGGACACTGCCCCTCTCCACCTTACTCTGTGCCCAGAAGGTGACCTAAGTGGATCACATCACTAGGCACTGGGAAGCCTCTCCACGAGATAAAGTATGAAAGTGAAGTAGGTTTGGGGATTGGTTCCTGTTTCTCTGTCTCACTCCCTGCAAGTACCATTAGACTCAGGCTGACACCAAAGCTGAAAACTAAAAAAGTCCAGGCTAACACACATGTTAGCTAGAACTTTTGACATAGTCTCCCCATCTTCATAGTTTGCTTAGTTATAGAAAACTTGGCTTCAGGCTACTTTCTGAGACCCTTCAATGTAAAAACTCTCAACTCTATTGGCATTTATAATTTGTTCTAATTATAAATCCTGCTGCTGCTGTAAGGACAAATAGGACCATCTGAAGTTTCTGTCTGGAAGAGCCATTGATGTAATCACTCAGTGTCCTCATCACATTGCCACATTGTTTTTATTTGGTCTAATTACAAAATATGTTTTAAAATACACAAGACTAGCCTTGGCTGGTGTAGCTCAGTGGATTGAGCACATGCCTGTGAACCAAAGGGTTGCTGGTTCAATTGCCAGTCAGGGTACATGCCTGGGTTCTGGGTCTGGTCCCCAGTAGGAAATGCATGAGAGGCAACCACACACTGATGTTTCTCTCCCTCTTTCTCTTTCTTTTTCCCTCTCTCTAAAATAAATAAATAAATAAAATCTTTAAAATACACAAGACTATATAAAACAAAATAAAAATCATCACTGGTTATATTTTGCTTGCTTGTTTGTTTGTTTTTTTAAGATTTTATTTATTTATTTTTAGAGAGGGAAGGGAGGGAGAAAGAGAGAGAGATACATCAATGTGTGGTTGCTGGGGGTCATGGCCTGCAACCCAGGCGTGTGCCCTGACTGGGAATCGAACCTGCGACACTTTGGTTCGCAGCCCGCGCTCAATGTACTGAGCTATGCCAGCCAGGGCTTGCTTGTTTGTTTTATCCATTAGGTTCCACATATAGGTGAGATCATACAGTATTTGTCTTTCATTGCCTGGCTTATTTCACTTAGCATAATGCTCTCCAGTTCCATTCACACTGTCACAAAGCATAGGAGCTCCTTCTTTCTTTCTGCTACATAGAATTCCATTGTGTAAATATACCATAGTTTTTTTAATCCACTCATTTACTGATGGGCACTTAGGTTGCTTCCAGCACTTGGCTATTGTAAAGTGTGCTGCTATGAATATTGGAGTGCCTAAGTTCTTTTGAGTTGGTGTTTCAGGATTCTAGGGTAACCAGGGCGGAGGTGGCAGGGGATAATGGGGGGGGAAGAGGGAAAAGTTGTCAAGAACATGTATAAAGCACACATGGACAAAGCCAAAGGGGGTGGGATCGAGGGTGAGAGGTGAGGATGGCTGGGGTTGGAGGGAGTGGTGGGGAGAAAATGGAGACAACTAACTGTATTTGAACAACAATAAAAAAATATATTAGCAGTCCACACACACACACAAAAACATCTCTAATCCTACCAATACCAGTTGGTAAACTCTTATACAACTTTATCTACATAAAAATATGTTAACAAAATTGGGACCATTTTCTTTCATTTATTTTCTCACTTAACAAATGTTAATGGCTCCTATTCTGACAAGACCTAGCAATAACCAAGGTAGACAGAGTCCCTGTCCTCATGGAGCTGACAGCTAATTAGAAGAAAGAGGGGAACAAACATACTGCCACTCCTCACAATCACCCTCTGAGAGAGACACTGTTATTATCCCAATCTACAGGGAGCTAACCTGAGGTTCCAAGTAGCCAAGCAAACTGCCTAAGGATACACAGCTAGTAAGTAGCAAAGTCAGGATTCAACCCCAGGTCTACCTGATAGCAAGATGAACTTTTAACTCACATGAGAGTTACCTTAGTATGATATGCTGATCTTTCTTTACAAAATGATACTAAGGGCTAAAAGGTTGAATTAGCACCCCAAGATAACATATTTGCTCCAAACACATATAGTTTCTTAACTTCAATCATGAGGTTTATTTATGAAAAATGATTTGTTATGATTTTATCACATTTACATTAAGAAAAACCTCAAGTTTAATTTTTTACCTTTTTTGGTGTATTTGATTTAAATAAGAAGATCAAAATTCCTTACAGCAGACATGAGAGACAGTAGAGAATAGTCAAGCTCACTAGTCTTGGAAACAGACAGCCAGGCTTACAGTCCTGATTACCTCACTTACTAACTCATGATTCTGAGCAATTTTATTTAACCTCTTCATGATTCAGTTTCCTCAACTGTAAAATGAGGACAGGATTAGCATCTATTTCGCAGTGTTGTTGTCAAGATTAATTGAGTTAATACATGCAAACTCAGAATGATAGTCTGAACATATGTGCTCAATAAATTATTATTTTACCAAGTAAGACTAAAAGTTTTGATACTATTTTCTCAAATTTTCAACTGACAGGTTTTCACATGACTTTTTTCTTAAAGTTTTCCCCTCCTAATGGCTTTTTAACAAGTCTATTTCTGATTTTGAGTATAAAGACAGCTACTGTCTCATAGTTTGATTATATGGTATCTGTGGCCACCTATCAATATTTAATATCAAGAAAGCAGAGTCTATAATTTGCATTTTTAAATTACCCATAAGACCTTACTCAATACTTGGCATAGTACTCAGAAATTACTGTTTAAATGAATGAATAAAATAGATATTAGACTAAACATTAGCAGAATTTTGTATTTGCCACAGTAAACCTGGCTTTTATTTATTTGTAACCATTTCTCCAATCTCTAATTCAAACTCAAATATCTGAGTCTCTTTATTCCAGATGTTCTCATTGATGATGGACCAGCCGTAGTTTTGTATGTGTTTGCTTGTTTGTTTATACCTCCATCTTATTCCAGAAACAACTTAAGATGATTCACAAGGATATATGAAACTCAAGATGGAATTAATTAAACATAAGAAGGGAATAACAAGGGAAAAGAAGGATGGCTATACAAAACAAAGTTAGGAAGATGGTTAGAATACTCATGCAATAAAAACCCTAAGAGTGGGCCACAAATTTTCTACAGCCAACATGAAAAAGTCAACTGGTGAATGACGTAATTTGCAACAGACCCTGGATGAAGAAGCCAGCTGCTCAGAAGATTTGGCAACTCTTAGTAGTGGACTTTTTAGGATATTCTTCACAAAAGTCATTCCTAACAATTATCATTCACAGTGGTATCTTTAGAGTATGATTTCCCTCAGTCTAGATCATTGAATCTTGATAAAAAGTCATTTAGTCACAACATGAGCAAAGGCAAACCACAGCAGGTCAGATGTGGCAGGTCAAGTGGGAAAGAAACTCATACAATTTTTCTTCAGGGGCTTAGCATTTAGAATAAAAAAAGGAAGTCTCTTTCTGTTGGTGTATTTCCTATTATCTTTTCCAGGTCACTGCTTTTAATGTTCTAGGTAAGCAAGGTGGCACATTTTTAAACTAACCAAACATAAATAGAGTAAATCTAAAAAATCCTATGTTAGAACATGGTCTGCTTAAGTCTTGGACAGTGACTCCCACACTCTGCCACCTCTGAGTCATGAGGGAGGATGTGAGAAGTAGCAACCCCCATCATCAGAAACTTATAGATGTTTTTCTACAATATTCATCCCCTTACACCATAGCAATTTTGCTTGATGTGAATAGAAAAGTTTCTTTGCCTGAACTCGTATCAGATGGTTTTCTAAGTCAGACAGGTCTGGATCTAAATTCTGGCTCTGCCACTTTCCACATGTAAACTGGTATCTCTGGGCCTCAGTTTTCTCATCTTTCAAATGCTATTTAACATGATATTTTCATGGATAATTTCATATAAAACTTTTCACCCATAATAAAGTGCTCAAAACATTATAGCCATTGTTTCCCACTTAGCACAGTCCCAAGTACGCTATAAATAATGCATAGGTTTGTTGAATAAATGAACAAATGAATGAACATGTATTACCATCCAGGAATCTTTACCAATCAGCAAATTCCTCTAAATATTTGAAATCATCATAACATGGCAATTGAGAACATGGGCTCAGGAGTTGGGGGTCTGAATCCTGACACCATTATAGACAAACTTCAACCATTCTATCTGAGCTTTGCCATGTACAGTGGGATAATGATTCTCACTTCTTTACAGGTGTCTTACAACAATTATATGAGGTTATAAGTATTTAACATCATTCCTGGGATACAGTAAGCATTTAATAAATATTACTGTTTATTTTATATAAATATAAATATAATATCACAAAACTTGTTTTTATTTGTTTTTCACCTTTTCCCTGGTTTCAATACTATGTGCTCTTGGAATTTTCCAGTTGGCAAATAGTTGTATAAACTAAATGATTTGTGTCTAGGATTCACATTTCTTTCACTGTTTTATCTTTCTGTTTGTTTCTGTAGGACTTCATCGTCACTGTAGTCTTTTCATTCTTGTGGTTGGTTGGTTCATCAGCTTGGGCGAAAGGACTATCTGATGTCAAGGTTGCAACTGATCCCAAAGAAGTATTGTCACTGATATCAGCTTGCAAACAGTCGTCCAACAAATGCATGGCTATCCACAGCCCTGTAATGTCCAGCTTAAACACTTCTGTGGTATGTTTCCACCTATGCTTTACCTCCCAAATCTTTGTTTGCCAGTCAAGTGAATAAAACATCTCAAAAATCACCTTGGAAATTTCTGCCTCTAAAACTAGGCCAGTCTAACAGGTGATATTTCACTCCATATGCAAGGTTATTCTTTGGTCTTGAAGTTTCTATTGTTAGAACCCATAGACTTGAATGCTGCCAATTACAAAGTTCTTAGTAAGAACTCAGCATGTATTGACAGCTGTTGCTTGGATGGCAGTCAAATCAAAATTCTAAGCAGGAATCAGATATAAAATCTGACTTTAAGGTTGAAGCTTGCCAGAAGTTAAAAATGAATATTTGATGGCATACAGGTTTCCTGGGAAGAAAACATTGTTCAAACCACATATAGTTAGAATATATCCAATCGATTGTCTGAGAAAAAATACACAGACCTAGTAGGATGCAGAAAGAAATACATCATGTAAGAAAGCCCTTGTAATTGATATGGTCATTTTTGTCACCTCCATGATCCCAGTTTAATTGCTTGATAACATCAGAAAAGCTAAACTATAAAAGCTAAACAAAGTCAAGTGGATCAAGTCTTTTGGGAAGACAGAAAATCTGATAGACAGCAGAGTTGCTAAATTGGACGCTTATTTTATGAGCATAAAAACTCGTGTTATTCCAAGGAAAGAAACTATGTCTGAGAAAGACAGAAGCTATCATGGCAGCAAAACAAAAACAAACAAACAAAAAAAGCAGCAGTTATCAAATAATAAATGACTCAGCAATGTTTGCTGAAGGAACAACATTCTTCAGCAACCCCTGAAAATAATTATCTTTGTTTCAAGGTTTACTTATGTTTCTACAGCTTTCTGAAATTTAATCTGAGAAGGTTTATAAGAAAGGAAAGAGGGTTCCTGATGATTTGACTGTAATCTTGCCTGTGTAAAATACTTAACATGGAAATAGACTATATATTAGTGTCTCACAGTCATTTTTATACCTTGTTGGCAACACCTATAGGTGATTACTTTAGGTGTACATTAAAATATATTCCACTGCTTTTACAATTTGTTCATAGGCAGTACTTGATAAAAGTTAATGTAACGATGATCTCAAAATCTCAGAGAACAAAGCTAAAATCATTTGATGTATTTTTTAGTTTAAGGAATAATCTTCTACATAAGTTATGAGAGCCTGCATAGTCCATTTAATTTCTCTTCTGGTGTCTCTAAGAAGTTTTAGACTAAGAGATATGAATTTTAAATGAGACATAATGTGACATATTTCTTAAAATCAAAGCTGAGGATGGATGGAAACCAAAAAATATGGGGTAGAAAAGGGCAGGTCTCATTCTGTTACAGTTGTGGGTCCTTATCAGTTAAGGTTCCTAATGACAGGAAAACTCAGCTCAAATTGGCTAATGCAAGACGAAACCCATGTACCTAAAATCTCTTTGCACCCCCACTTCTAGAACCAACATCTGTATGCATTAGAATGCTTAGTTGCAAGTAACCAAAACTCACTCTAACTTCATCAGGAAAAAAAAAAAATCAAATCTCTCAGAAAACTGATGAGACCTGAAGAAATAGGCCCTACAAAAAGCAGGGTCTGAGGAAGGATCAAGGTCCTATATATCAGATACTGAAAAATGGTGTCATCAAGATGCTGTTAATGGCAAGTTGTATCTTATCTTGCATAACTCTGCTCAAAATGCAAAGTTTCAGGAGAGAATTCAAGTCACTTGACCGCAATGTGTCTCTGCAAGGAAAATCAAATGTTTATTACCAAAGGCAGAGGAAAAATATTTAATGTGCTAAAACACAATATTTGTATTATAAACTCATTTGGCTTCAAATCATATTGAGCTAGTTTTAAACAAAAACTGCAAATAATTTAAAAAAAAACACTAAAAATGTATCTTTACATTGAGGTAAAGGGCAAAACCCAGGGCCAGGACTCTGGAAGGCTATCAGGAAACTGGACAGTTCTCATCCTCCCTCCTTCATCTGATTCTGTCTGCATGTCTGCTACATTATTTCTCTTATCAGATGGATTTGTTTTTCTCTTTTTTCTGCTTATACAAGAGAAGATAGCTGCCCTACAGTATCTGAGTTTATATTTTTTTAAAGAAATATCTTGGACAAAATAAAAATCACTTAGGTCCAATCCCAGGTTTTTGGCAGAATGTCATTAGTCCATCTTGGGCCAGGTGTGTACCCTGGTCTCATCAGTTATGTCTCAGGAATCATAGGAAAGGTAAAATGAACACAAGGATCACAGAACTCCCCCTCTTGGGCAAGTGTAGGTTTTGGAGAAGGAGACAGACACACACCATAAGAGATAACCTCTACAAGTTAATGGTTCAAGCAATAACTATGATATTTTCTGCCTGGGTAACTATTTACTTTCTTCAAAGCACTTTGGCATCTATAATTTCACAATAACACTAATAGGTAGGAAAATCAATCAGGCATTTCAGATGTAGGGAGCTGAGGTAAAGGGATTAGCATAACATTTCTCAGATACTTACAGCAGTGCCAGACTAGAGCCAAGTTCTCCTATTGTTATTGCCACTCAAAGTGGTGAAGGGCTCTGCTCTACAGGTGATCTGTTTAGGGTTTGAATTCTTGCTTTATTGCTCAAAAAGGGACTGCTCTTAGACAAAATAATTAAGTTTTCTAAACTTAGTTTCATCACCTATAAATTCTATAGTTTCTCATCATCTATAAAATGGGGATAGTATAAAAGAGACTTCACAGGACTGTTGAAAGGATTTGATGTAATAGTATATAAGTACTTAGCTTAGTACAATGCCCAGCACATGGCAGATGTTCAATAAATCTCCAAGGAAAGCTGCTACAAAAAATGCATTTATTTCTTTAAATTTCATGTAGTATTAGAGCCACACAAGAGGAAAAAAGAATGTTTTTATTTTCTCAAATTTTCTTTCGCCCTGGCTGGCATAGCTCAGTGGATTGAGTGCGGGCTGCGAACCAAAGCATCGCAGGTTCAATTCCCAGTCAGGGCACATGCCTGAGTTGCAGGCCACGGCCCCCAGCAACCGCACATTGATGTCTCTCGCTCTCTCTCTTTCTCCCTCCCTTCCCTCTCTAAAAATAAATAAAATCTTAAAAAAAATTTTTTTTAATTTTTTAAAACTTTTTTCTTTCAAAGGTTCACTGTTCTTCTATCCATAATTTCCACTCCTGCTTCTCTGGCTTCATAGTAGGTGATCTGGACACGTCTGCTTGATCATCTAGATTCCAGCCTCCCCTCCTTTCTCATGCTACATGGAGTCTCTCTTTCTGTTGTCCTCACATCTGAGACTGAATCAAAATCCTTACTCCAATTTCAGTTGCAACAAAATGGCAAGAAAATATTCCAGGGTCTGTGTACCCCTAAAATGTGCCAGCCAGGAGATTTGATATCTCTGTGATAAAAATAAAATAAGACATTACTCTTCCTTAAATATGCACACAGGAATGCCTTTTTTATATTCTTCATTTAAGTTGCATTTCCTTGATTTCCAGGTTCTTCTTCAGCTTCCCTTTTTAAGAAACCAAGTAGCATCGAGGGAAAGAGATCAAGGAATAGAAAACATAAAACTACAGCTCCCAGAAGAACTATCCCTTCATTTTGAAAAGATTCCTTGATAATTTTTTCTACTCATATATAGTATTGACATATATTTACAGAGGTACAGTTTAATCAAGATCTCCCCTTTGGTGGAAAATATCCTAGATATTATACACATAGTTAAAAGGCCCTATATGTAAATTATACTTGGCCAGCAATTACCCAATTCATTTTGATGATTCAACTATTACACTAGCATAAGTGCCTTATTTATATTTTGTATCTCCCTCAGCAAGAAGCCTAAAGCACAGCACAAAGTAATATTAAATACATGTCAGTTCATGTTAAAGGAAGGAAAGGGGATGGAATAGAAGGAAAGGAAGAGTGAAGGGAGGAAGGGAGGTCTGGATAGCCAGTCTTCAATAAGATCAATTAGGGTCCTAGATAGTAAATTTTAGTTATTGACGTCCTGAAGAATATGGCCTCACTGTCAAAGCCCTACTTCAATTTATGCTGCACAAAAAGAGTCAACTGAAAATAACTCACAGGAATGTTTTAGAAAGCAATTCAGAGCATAACTTAGCAATTAGTAAGCATTTACTGATGTGCCCAACACTGTCTAGCTGTTTTATGCACATCCTTCCCCCAAGGAAGGAATAATTGTTTTCTTTTCATATGAGGGAAAAATGCTGTGATTCAGAGGCAAACTGCCTTATCTAAGGACACAGAGCAAGAAATTGCAGACCCTAGGCCACTGTGATTCCAAAGCCTGTGGGGAGGACTCCAAGGCTGATATCTAGTTAGTCTGATCCACTTACGGTTAAGATATTGGAATACTTTAGTAAGTAGGTCCTGCTGCAAGCAAGCCCCCAAAGCCGCTCATCTTTGTTTTTAAGATTTTATTTATTTATTTTTAAAGAGAAGATAAGGGAGGAAGAGAGAGAGGGAGAGAAACATCAGTGTGTGGTTGCCCCTCACGTGCCCCGAACTGGGGACCTGGCCCACAATGTAGGCCTGTGCCCTGACTGGGAATCAAAACAGTGCCCCTTTGGTTCCCAGGCCAGCATGCAATCTACTGAGCCACACTAGCTATGGCACTCTCATCTTGACCATATTACCTCCTCAATCACACCCCCAGGGCATTTTTGACCAGCCCAATATTAAGTAACCAAGGGATATATTTTGACCCAGTGGGACTTCCAGCACCCTACTCCAGAGCTTTGGCTCAAGTTCACTTTGATTGGTCAGTGTTGTGCTGGAGTTGTTACTAAATGTACTTTAATATCATACAGCTTTTTACCATACTATTTCATTAGCCATCTCCAACAGGTATCATAGAAACTGAGTGCCTGTGGTTAATTCCCAGGTCAACCAGTCTGCCTTGGGAAAGGTGGCAGAACCATTGTTTTGTCCGGGCCTCAAAGCATGGAACGCTTCTGGTTCCATTCAACACTTAACACCTGGTCCTCTGACTTGCCCCATGACACACTTGCAGAGAATAAAAGGAATTTCCATAGGAAGGTTTTACCCCCAGTTCCAGAGAAAACACTTTAGGCCTCCCTGAAACCTTCACTTTATTCCTGGTCTGGTTTCAGTATTTCCCTTCTGAATGTAAGAAGCACAGAAAGAACAATTATTTAGAGGAGGCAACCTCTCTGGACACGATCATACATATGCTTATCAGCATATCCTTGTATGCAGTTATTCCAGACTTTTTTTAAGTGGTCTAATTTTCTTTATATCATTACAATAAATGTAAAAATAGTATCTCTAGCCATAAAGCAAAGATAACTTTATAAATTAATGTACCATCATTAAAATGAAAATAACCCTCTACTCCTTGGAGATATCTTACACACCAAGAGGAATACTCAGGCTATGGGTCAGACAGAACAAGGGTATGAATCTGAGATCTACTACTTACCAAGTCATGTGACCTTGAACAAAATTCTTAACCTTGCTTAACCTCAGTTTTCACATCTTTACTATGAGTATAATAATAGGACCTTCTTAGAGAAACTGAACTGATACAAATAAACCCCTTCATGTAGTGCCTAACATGTAGTAAGAACTCAGCACTCAGATATCCTCAACATTGAAATGAATAGTGACTTTTTGTATTGTGAAGGATTTTTCTGAAATTGAGATTTTTTTTCTTTGAGTTTGTTTCCATTGTATTAACTCATTTGCTTTGGTTCCCCTTTAGGTGTTTGGATTCTTGAACTTTATTCTCTGGGCTGGAAACATCTGGTTTGTTTTCAAGGAGACTGGTTGGCACTCCTCAGGACAGAGATATCTTTCAGACCCAATGGAGAAACATTCAAGCAGCTATAACCAAGGCAGGTACAATCAAGACAGCTATGGGTCTGGTGCTGGGTACAGCCAGCAGGCGAGTTTGGGGCCATCTTCCAATGAGTTCGGCCAACAGTCCAGTGGCCCTGCTTCCTTTACCAACCCAATTTAAAAGGGTAGTATTTGCATTCTTCTAGAGAGAGCCTCACCATCTTCCAGTGGCAGAAGATTTTTTAGGTTTCAGTAACTTATTAATGCAGAGAGTGTTGAATATAAATTAGAGATCTGTAATCCTCATTAAGGCAGAGAAGCCTGTGTCATGATAAATGATACTTAAAAATGAGATGCCATAAGGAGGTATATTATTCATCATAGGTGGCTAATTGTATATCATACCTTGCTATAAACACAAATACTTTCATGGTGTTTCGTATGTGCATTGAAATAGTTGAAACATTTTGTAGCTGAATGTAATATGCATAAAGTAAGTCAAATATCAGCAAGTTTTCCTATGCATTTTGATGCTGAAGACATTTTAATATTTCTATAAGACGACTTGGTGCATCACAATGTGCATGTATTTTTTTTTTAGTTGCAGACTATAGGATTGAGTCTCTTTGTTTTAGACAGTTACTCTGTGTTTCTTTATTTGATGAAACAATGCTTATATAATTTAGTGCATGAATAGGCATTTTTCACAAAATGAACATTCCAATGGTATTTATAAAAATTTTCCAGTATGCACCAGGAATTTGTTAAATGGTCGTTTAAAAAATGTATTCACACTTTGTAACTTGCAAATTTGTCTCTCTGGCTTTACCAGTTCTGAATGCATTGTAATTAAGGTTAGGGGTTCTTTTTTCCCCATTAGTAGATATTCAGTGTTACTATATTATAACTGCTCAGTATTTATTCTATTTACTTAGCTAAATATTTACATTCTTACAACTTTCCATCGTATTTTATGGATCTTATCCTGTGGGCCAAGAACAATAGGCCCAATAACTTTGTGTTTATGGAGTACTGTTTTCTTAGAATAATAGTGATGCAGATACCAGATACCATAGTCAAGAAGCTATTGTCCTGACATATTAATTTTTAAAGAATAATCTGAAGAACCTGGACTACCAGCTAAACTTTTAAATTCTATTTATTTATAAAGTTAATATGTTCTTCAATTATTAAACATTCTCAAGTCTTAGCTCAACTTACTAATTATCAATTCTAATTTGAATATTATCCATAAATTAAAACTTACTTCCATGAGCCATTCCATATCCAAAAAGGGGTTTTCATAAAATACCCCCCCAGAATGTATACATTATCAAGAAAATGCCAAATTCACCTCTTTGTTTTAACTCAGTTGAAACACCATGGCCTAACAGTGAGGAAAAGCTGGGCATCTGTACTTTTAGATAAACATTGGTATCAATGTATAAACTCATTATGTGATCTGTGATGTTGGAAGAATTTTAACACAAAACAGTCTTGATATCTGTAGTCAGTTTCTGGATCCTGTTGGATAAATCTGTATTGTGATATTTTTTGCCCTTAATAAAGTTATTGCCTACAATGATGGCTGGTAATATATGCATTATCAAGAAAATGCCAATCTTTGCCTCTTTATTTTAATTCAATTGAAACACCAGGACCCAACTGTGGGGAAAAGCTGAGCATCTGTACTTCTAGATAAAAGTTGGTATCAATGTATAAGCTCATTGTGTGATCTGTGATGTTGCAAGCATTTTAACACAAAACAGTCTTGACATTTATAACTAGTTCCTGGATTCTATTGGATAAATCTGTATTGTGATATCTTTTTGACCTTAATAAAGTTATTGCATACAGTGTTGGCTGGATAATGGAGAATCACAACCGTAGAACCTGATTTAGCTTTAACAATGAAAGAACAAGGGGTAAATGCACAGTGTTTCTGATCTCCTACCCTGTCCTTGTTTTATGAGCACAGGAGTGTTCATTCATTCCACTAGTCTAAAACTTTCTATATATTCATTGCTCTGCAATGGGGATAGGATAGTGAGCAAAAGAAGAAATATGCCCTACCTTGAGAAACTTGCATTTTATTTGAAGAGACAGACATTAAAACAATAATGTCCCAATTGTGCTCTGTGCAACAAAGAGAGGTACAGAATTCCCTGAGAACATTTATCAGAGGGACCTAAGCTAATTGAAGAGAAGTCAAGGAACTTCAGGCCTAAAGACAGCACAATGTTTCACAAGGACAGGGTGGGAGGGAAAATATCCCAGGGAGATAGCGGTCTTTCAAAGCTCTCAGATGCTTGGAAGCAGGATGGATATGAAGGGTTGCCAGTGGATGATAAATAAGGGGAGCTTTGTGAGAGGAGTGGCTGCTGATGAGTGCACAAGTGAAACTATTTGGAGGCCATGATCCAGAACTTGGTCTTTTTCCTAAAGAAGCTAAGGGAGAGTATTGAAGGACTTTAAGCAGAGGAGGGACACGGTGCATTCTGAAAAGATTTCAGTGGCTACAGGGTAGAGAGTGAGTTGAAAAGGGGCAAGAATAAAAGACATCCTGGGAAAAGAAAAGAAGCCTTGACCCCTAGTATCTTTTGGGCGGTGGTTTGGGAATGGGAGGAGGGGAACTGGCCTGAGTTGTCCCCCACTCCCTCATTTCCTGGGACAGTGTCCGGATTTGACTGCTTCTTTCAGCACTGTCCAGGAGCATAGTGGCCTCTGCTTCTTATACTGTCACAAAAATCTTCAAAGCAGAAAATCCCTCATAACCAATATTTCCTTTTACCTGCCTCAGCAGTTTCAAAGAACACTGGGGCTCTCATAAATGGGAAGCTTCACCTGCCTTGATGGAGATAGAGACATGCTTCCACAGTCAGCAGCAGATTCACATGTTGCTGTAACTCAACCAGGACTTCACTAAGCTGGCCTTATTCCTTCTGGTTTCAAGAAAAAGGCAGCAGATCTGGTCTTTTAAGAATAGGAGGAGCATCCAGGAGACCTAATTTGGTTCTGTGTGTCCAGGAGACCTACTTTGGAATGGTAACTTCTCTGCTGACTAGCCATATACTTCAGATGTAACTTCACCTTCCTGAGCCTTTGTCCTCTGGAGGAGGTAAAGCACCTAAGCAAGAAGGGTGGTTCTGAGATCTGACCATCTAGGCTAGAATCCCTACGTTGTCATTTACTAAACTCTCCTTTTTCTTCTTTAACGCCTTTACCAAAGCCCCAGGGCTTTTCTGAAACTGCAGCCTGAAAACAAATGCAGACTGGAAATGCAGGGGAGTTGGCACCCAGGAGCATCCTCAGTCACTGGGAGATTTGGGCAGGTTGATTAAAGACTTTGGCAAGATTCTAAACTTCCCACTCAGTTGCCCCATCTCTACAATACAGATAAAAGCAATATATACATGGTAGGATATATACATGATATCAGGATGGAAAAGTAAGCCAGGTAAAGGCATGAGAACAGCTTCTGGCACACAGTAGGCACTGTCTGAGTTTGGGTTACCCTGGAATCAGAAGATGATTCCAGGAAGCAGGAGTCAGGGAGGAGTAGAGTGAAACAAGGAGAAGAAAAAGCTGATAAAAGGTTGCATCAGAGGTATTGCTAGTAAAGGCTGTAGAAGCTCAGTTCCATCAGGATCTGTATAATATTCACAATGCCCCACTAATTTTCCATGAAGGGGCAGGTGCTGAAGTATTTTTCTACCAACCCCCAGCCCGTGTTGACTGAGATTTGCGCACAGGGGTGGTAACTTTTCCACATTTGCAGATAGTACCTGTCTGTCAACTGAACAAACTCCTGTGATTTCAGAGCAATAAGCCTTGAGCCTGAACAACTATTAGGCAGTGGGCTAGGGTAAGAGGCATGAGTGCTATCATTGTCCTCCCCTCCCCCATTCCTGGGGGCAGTAACCTGAGGAAGGATAAAGGAGAGCCCTGGAAAGCAAGCACATGCAGGAAGGTGTCACCACCAACATGAGCAGGAATGATCCTTCATAGCTGTGTCTGCAGTCAGAGGCTGGCCAAGGGAAAGGAACAAGAATACCAAAATCAGTGATCAATGAGCATTATTATTATCACTTCACCTGTAAAATGGGGATACAGAAATCCCACCTCTTAGGGTATGTCATGCACTGAACTGGTCATGTGTGGGAGGGCTGATGAAATTTACAACCCTCTACAAATATTAGTTGGCTATTGAATAATAAGATATAAACCTGAGTTTTTATAAGTCAAACTTCTAGATGAGCAAAATACAGCTCCTGACATCTGGCAGTTTACCCTCCAGATTACCCTCCAGATTAAAAAACTCAAACAATAGACAAATAAGCAGAACAAATATGTAAGAATAAATTTTGGGATCCAAAGGTAATATATAACACCTACAGATTCATTCAATCCACTCAACGCCCCAATGAAAAGGTAGATGCCATTGACCACCTTTGAAACTGAGTTCCTCCAGAAGTAGACCCTGAGACAAGAATTTGAGTACCAGTAGGGGGCTGGGGATGTGAACCAAGGAAGAGAAGTGAGCCAATAAATCTTGTGTTATGGACTAGGTTACAACTGTGGACAACTGGGGCTCAAAACCATGGGGAACCTGACACAGAGCAAAACACATACCACCCACAATTAGCCCCAACCAGGGCAAAGGACCTGCAGTATTATTCTTGAACTCTGTTCAGTCTCTGAATGCCAGCTTTGGGGAAGTAATGATTCAGACCTCTCTGTGTGTGTGGACCAGGTGGCTGTAGCTGACAAAGAAGCTCCCAGAAGCTGTGTAGCAGACATAGCTTCAGGCAATGGAGCACATATTGGAAGTCGGAAGTCCTCAGTGCAGCATGAATGCAAGGGTGAATTCAGGGATTATATGCGTCACTGATAGTGTCTGCCACACTGAGATTTGGTTATGTTAAGTAGCTTCACCAACTTAATCCTAATAAAAAGACTAGAACTTAAGTTGCTTTTAGTCCTAAGAGATTTTTTCCCATTAACTCCTAGGTAACCTAGCATATAAATATGACTTAACCTCAATATGCCATGTGATTTTTATCTAGCTACCCAAAAATGACCTTTTTTCATAACAACTATAAAGTAGTAACTAACATTTATTGAGCACTTACAGTGTGTCAACCACTGAGCTAATTTTTGCATTTAATCACAATAGCACTATGAGAAAGGTACTAGTATTACTCTAAATAAGAGTTTAGAAAACCAAAGTTCAGAGAAGTTAGATCATAACAAAAATCTTTGTGATCATCTCCACTAATTAAAATAATTCTAAATTGCTGCATTCTACTCTGCATCTACTCTGTGCATCATGGTTTTAACCATTTTTCTATTTAATGTTCACAGGAAATGCAAGATTAAATATTGATTTCATACTTATTGAGCAGATGAGAAAACTGAAATTCATAAAGATTAAGTAGCCTGTCAGCTCAAGGTTACTGAGCTGGAAATAGGCAGACACCAAATTCAAATCCAGATCTGTCTCTGTTCCCAACTTCTGGCTATTGCTAAAACCTCAAAAGTGCTCCCTGACCACCCTGCTGTATTTTAATCCAACTGTGCTGTCTGTTGGACTGGCACAATTAACACAGACCCAAACCATCAAGTGTTCCTTTGACCTTCCATAGTTAACTGAGTCCTTACCAGAAAGATAGCCTTTGTCAGAACAATTTACCAATGTGAATGAAATCAGACACAACCCATTGAATGTTAATTAAGTCATTAAGCCTGCTAAACACCCAGCTGATCTACGAATGACTTCTTGACATGTTTAACATTGAGTCTGAGGCTTCACTGGATTTTGGGGCTCAGCTGAATGCTCTTCAAATCTTCTTGGCTGACAGCAATTATTCTCTGAATGGCCCCGGCTCCTATAGTACCCACTGGAACTCACCTCCATGAATAATGCACACTGGACATAAAAGCTAAGATGAAGACACAAGAAGACTTCCTGGGAGCCCTGTTTTTCTGTGAAAAGTATTTGAAGTCTAGCTGAGTATTTTCATTTACTGGGCAGGTCCCCCACTATCTGTGCCCTGGTTTATTGAACAAGACACTTGAAGGAGGTCATAATAAGTCTAATAGATTTCCTGGTAGTTAGGAAAGGGTTTTGTCTTCGAGCCTGTGCTCCTTGATTCATATTTTGATGACTTGATCTCTTGGGGCTTAAAAGGGTCTAATTGGCTTGTGCTGTGAACAAGTCACAGTTTTCCACTGGCTCTTATGAACATAGTCATCTCCCTGCTTTTTAGAAACAATTCTGTATGACATATTACCTGCTTTCATGACATTTTCGTGAATAAAAGAAAAGACAAACTCAAAAGCTTTTCTTATTTCAAATGTTTTCCCCTTTTTCCTGTGAACTGATATTTTTCCTAGATATTTTCTCCTCTGGTGTTTTCAGACATTTAAGACTATTCAGACTGATCTCCACTGTCACATTACTTGTGGAATTTGATGCATTTCATAGTTGACACGTTGCCCTGAGTATTACTGCCCTTTTTAGAAGTCCTTTGTTAGTATGGATCTCTTGAAACTCTTAGACCTTCTATTAAAATTTCATAGTTGGTAATGGTACATGTTTCCACAGGACTTAGCAGCATGGTGCCATATGCACTCAGGAGGATCGCATTTTTCAGCACAGACAATTACTTCAGATGGGGCCTGAGGTTCAGATTTATGTCCTGAAATTGAGAGCTGGGTCACACCTTTAGTCATTGGTAGATCCTGTCATTAGCTTTATCAATGTAAATTGATCATGTGAATTCTTAGCAGAAAGGTGAACACAT